TATCTAGGTCATTCAAGGCCCAACTTTTTTTTTACTCTCTTTTGCACACACTCACACACACACATACACCCCCTATGGAAATGCACGTGGCCTAACTAAGGAAACTATGTCAGCCATCTGTGACGTTGCTCTCCTTTCCATTTCCACGTCCATTTCCATCTCCACTTCTACTCTCCCCTGCCAACAGCCCCAACAATCCCAGGCAGCATCCCTCTCTTCACCTCGTGGCCCTGCCACATCGTTGCCACTTGGCAATTGGCTGTCCTTCAATAGAAATTCTCTCGGATACCGTTGCAATTTAACAAAAATACCAAATACCACTGTAGCATACTTCGTGGATGCCGCAGCCTTTAGTGTGTCCCCAAAGTTGCTGTTAAGCTCCAATTGTCGCCCGTTCGCTACTTCAATTCGATTTCATTTACAGTCGCCCCCCAGCCTCTGGCCCCCTTTTCAAGGCGCACTCATTCCTAGATGGGCGGACGCGACGGAACGGACGGTTGGCTGTTGTTTTCAAACAAGCTCAGCTGTTTAATGTTGTTGCTTGACAGAGACAAACGAGAGAGATGGAGAGAGCGAGAGAGCTCGAGAGAGAAAACCAGCTTGAGTCAACCCCAAAATCATCTTGAAATCAACAATGTATGTATGTATGTACAGTGGGCTCCCAGTGCACACTCAAGGCTAAATACAATTTACTTCTACTCTTGTCATTGGGAACATTTGAAAAACAGTCAAAATGTGCCACATGATACAATACTATTTCCGTGTTTCGAAAGCTAACGAACCCCACTGTGCTCATGCACTTTTACTGTGTGCTGTCTCACCTCTCTCTATCAGACTATTTGATGAGCTAATTCTGCTTTTACTTGACCCTCTCCGCTCTCACTTGCTGTTTCTCTCACGCTCAGTTGCTCTCTCACTCGCTAGCTCTCCATGACTTTCTGCCACTCTATTTCCTATGTCTATCGTCTATTCCACTGCATGCTCCACGGTCTGGCTTCGTTCGGTTAAATACAAAAAACTGTGAAATTCTCTTTCGATTTGCTTGTGTGGTAAATTGGTTTTGGGCAGCGAAGTAATACTGTAGGTTGTTTAGGCTCCACAGTGGGGCTGCTTCTGCCGTTTTTGTTGTTTGCTTTGCTTTAGTCAGACTTTTGTCTTTTGGCTCTTGGCGTATATGTACATATGTATCTACATATATACAAACGTATGTATGATTTCTATGTGTGCGAGATGCGTCCACGGTTCTCTTGTCACATAGAAGATCGTCAGCAGCAGCAACAACAACAACAACAACGAGAGTCATCCCGAAATGAGAGTCAGCTGAATAGTCAGCAATCGCTGACTCTCTAATTGCCTCTGCTTATATTTTTTAAATATTTCAGATTAGAAAAATAACAGCAAAAAAAAAACTCTTCAATAATTTATCGCGCACAACCGTTTGAAAGTTTAGAACTGTTTTTTGCACACACGCGCAGCAGGAAATGTATATGTATAGATGTATAGACACATGTATATGGATTTAACAGTTTATTTTGGAGCCCCACATTTACATGATTATTGCTGGCTCCTGGTTGTGTTGTGCCTCCCTTTCAGTTTGGCATGCACTTACATGTGTACATATGTATAAACTTCTTCTTTTTGGTGCTCTTTCTTGTCTTGTTGTCTACTTCAACTAGTAACTGAAAATTAAATGGCATCTGAGCTGAAGCCCCCAGCGAGCAGAGCAGAGTGGAGCAGAGACACTGGCAGAGCAGTGAGAGCAGAGCAACGAGCGAGCAGCATAAGAAGTGAAGAAAAGCAGCGACACGTTGAAAGAGAGAGCAATTCGCATGGTATGTTCAATAGAAGGTGCGTCACTATCATCCAAACCTGTTTCCGATTTTCTCTACGGATGCCAGAAGGCACCAAAAAATTTAACTAAAAATCGAACGAACTTTGATGAACTCTTTTCGACATGATAATATTCAATTGGAAACTGGATAAGTTTAAATATGATCAACAGCGCTTTTTTGCTGTAATCAAAACCTTTGGTAATCAGATGGGAGGAACAAATTTAAATTTGATCATGTGAGGAAAATATCCAAGGCACCTAAGATTTAAAGATCACTGGTTGTAGCAGAACATTGTAAATTATATGGCTCAATCAAAAGGTAGGACATACTTTTTATTTTTTGTACCCTGGTAACGCGCACAGCCACGAAAGAGAGCACGAGAGAGTGCCAGAGACGGCAGCCAGAGCAGAGCTGAGGGCAGAGCTGAGGGCAGAGCACAGCGCAGTGCAAAGTGCCTGCTGCTTGCTCCCCCACGCGCTTGCCTTACCCTTCAAACCTCACCATATGTACAAAAGCAAAATCATAATAACAAAGCGAGCGCCAAAAGCCAAAGCGATAGCAGCAGCAGCAACAACAAAATAGACGAACAAGAGCGCACAAGCAGAAGCAGCTAAGCAAAAGGCAGCCCCAAAAACAACAACCACTCGTCGGCAGTCCACGATTCTGCCAAAGCTAAGAAAAGCTATAATCAAGGACAGCGACAGCTAGCAGCAGCAGCAGCAGCTGTAAACCAAACACACAACACACACACAGGTAAACATGTGAATGCATGAGAGAACCAAAATGCAGCAAAGGCAAAAACCAAAAGCAAATGCAAATGAAACAAGCTAGAGAAAAGAAATGGGGGAAATAATGATAGATATACATATGTACATCCATATGTAGGAGCAACACACAAAAGTCGAAGACTTCATGCCCTTTTCTATTGTCCAACTAATGACAGTATCATATTCAAATTGTTGCAAAAACACAGCCCTGCCCGCAAAGGCATCCAAATGTGCACAATGTACTGTACGCATTGAGGTACATTGTATGAAGATACTTATGAACATATGTAAATATGTATGTACATATGTACATTTATGTACGTCTCATCAACAGGGGTAATTGATTTGAGGACAAAAGCTAACGAGGTCACATGCAGGGACAACAAGGACTCCTGCAAAAATCGTTTCCCAATGGATGAACATTTTTTAGAGGGGGGTGACGTCGATGTCCCCCACATACACAACCACCCACAACAACCACAGTCAGCGTAATCCGGACGGCTACCCACTGAGGCAGGACACAAAAGTATGCGGTCGTTGACTGCGTACATATGTACATACATAAAGACATACATTTATGTACACACATATATTCAAGTCTTTTGCATAGTTGTTGGGGGTGATGGAGTTCTGATTATGTTTATGGTGACTGCGGTGGAGTGTACATGGATGTATGTGGAACTGCTGTTGGGGAAGGGGCTTTTGTTTTTGGAGGGGAAATTCGCATGCATATATGGGCTAAGGCCAAACGGCAGTTGAAAGAAACACGACACATGATCATATATGTACATACAATGTATACTTGCTTTTGCATGTGTTGCGTTATTGCCTGCTGATAAGATTTAAAACGCAAAAGCAAAGTCAAAACGAAAACGAAAAGAAATCACAACGCAATAAACGGGGCCAAAACCAAAGTGCGTAGTATATGGTAATGGTTGGGGAGGCAGAGCTGTGGCCAAAATAGGGGAGGGACAACAGCAACAACACAAAGTAAATTACAGTCGAGTAGCCTTTAAGTGTTATCAGACATGAAATTATGAAATTCTTTTGTGGAACATAAATGGATTCATAGTCGTACACATTTGCTCACTTGAGTGTGATCATCAGGGCGCAGGCATGCATGTGTGCACAAAACAGTTTGGATCTAGGACTAACGGTAAACATGCGAAACTCTATTAACCCTAGGGGGGTCCTCCCCACCTTATTACCAATCAAATTGTACACACGTCCATACAAACAACAGAGAACGGAAAAACTCAGATATATAAAGGCAAAAAAAATGCCCTTTTTTCGATTGAACAAGTGAAAAAAAAAACACAAACAAAAACATTCACAGCTGAGTGGTGCGGGCGGCAGGGGTGGGTTAATGTCACCCAGTATAAATGTCAAATTTACACACACAATAGTAGACACAATGGAGGGTACAAGAATTATTTGTTTGACAAATTTAAAGATTTTACATGTATTTGATTAAGCAAGTATACATACACACATAACGCTGTGCACATCTTGTAATACCTTTTATTATGATTTCTCGGTTATGTGTTTTTGTTTTCTGCTGCTGTTGTGGTGTTTCTATTGAGGTGCTGGCGTTGGCGTTGGTGTTGATGGCTGGGTACTTCTCCACATTGTTAAATGCACTGGCCGCGATCTCTGCATATTTCGACGCCTTGGCTTCCCCCTTTGTCCACACGGTTGATTGCTGGGGTCTTTGTTATTTTTGATTGCCCAACATTTAAAATTGTATTGCGTCGCTATCGCTGCCCATGCAAATGTGGGTATGTGGGAGCGAATCATCGATTTTCAGCCAAAGTACCATTGCAGCCTATCGAAAAGTGCAGCAATACTTCCAGTATTGGCTACGATCGATTTAACACTCAGAGAAAGTTGTTCCAAAATATGCATATCGTTTTTGCTCACAGAAATAGTTTCAAATTAACAGAGAAAATACATTTGCATTGAACTAGATTCGATTTCGATTAAATATTTACAAATTCTTCAGATACAAATTTCAGATGTATCTGTATCATGTAGGTACGAAAAATTACAGATTATCGCACAAATACATCGATATTGATATTTTTGCAGGCGACTAGTTACTTGAACGATATATGCATCCGTCACGTACCATCTCTAATTTGTTAATATTTCTCGCTCGGAAAGGTTGTGGTTTTCGCGGGTTTGACCATTTTTTGTTGTAGTTTTTTTTGGTTCGGGCTAAGCGGCATCGTTACCTGTCCATTAGCTGTTTTTTTGTTGGTGTATGTGTGTGTGAAAGCGTTCTTGGTGCCAACGCTATACTTTTTATGGCCGAATGTTAATCTTATCGCAAATCAAACTGCGAGCATGAGTCCGTAGAGGAAATTGAATTGAATTTCAGTCTCGCATTAGTACGCCCAAGTTGGAACTCTACTCTTAGTGGTCCTGCTGCTGATCCTCGCAAAGAAGCAACGATCGACCACAACAATCCATTAAGAGAGATCCACCACCACCATGCCTGTGAAGACGGTGTCCCGCCAGCAGAGCCAGACGCCCGCCCAGCAGCTGCAGCAGCAGCGGCAGCGGGATGTTGAAAACGGCCTCTATCCAAATATCCCGCCCGAGCGAAGATCGCCGCCCTCGCGTCCACAAACTCTGCGCCAGGACACCATCGACATGGAGGAGATACCCCTCAATCAGGCAATATCGCAGGAGCCGGAGGATCGGCGCAAGATGAGGGAAGTTTTTGACAAGGTACGGATCAGATCACAAGAAAAGAAAACACAGCTAATTGTGCGCTGTCGGCTGTTTCTGGGGAATTTCGTAAAATTGCTTAACCAGGGGGAATTTTTATGCACTTGAACCGGCAGATACGATTCTTCTTCGTATTTCTCTTTACCCAAAAATTCTCCATCGTCTTCCAATACGTGCATATGTGCACTTGTGTGCGTGTGCGTGTGAATGAATATTTTTCTGGTTTTGTTGTTGCCGGCGTTGGTTGCCATTGGTGAAAGTTGGGAAGTTAATGAATGAATCATCATCCATTCCAAGGCATTGCATGTGGACAACACTCTTTTTCTTCTTTTCCCAGTCTCTAACCCTCAGAGTGTCTACATTCGTGGTCCCGCTACTCCTTTCCTGGCTGCCACTCATCTTCGCACCTTGCGTATTTACCACAAACATACAAATGCACATACATACATACATAGCTGTTGCTTTTGATTTTCCCCTATTTGCAATACCCTTCACTTAAAGGAGTATATAAGTTATTGGTGATGCAGTTGCCATGGGAACATTTTTGTGTTGCTATTTGTTATGTTTTCGTTTTAATTGAATTGAAGTTTAATGCATACGTGCAAAGAGTGCAAGAGTCTGCCATGAGATCGATCACGGTGAAAGAGTATCCGAAATTTCTGCCAGCTTTTGCTGCATTTTATTTTCTTAACATTGATATGGGAGCTAGACAGAGAGAGAGAGAGGGTGTTGTCTTATCGCGGACAGCTTGGTTAAAGGGAGGTGAGGCAAAACACAAAAGTGTGTTCTGCCAGTGTGTATGGCTGGAGGGGGCAGCGAAAGAACCGGTTATAAATTATTGTTTGCTTTGTGTTGAGTTCTGTCTTTCGGGCTTGGTGAATTGTCGTTGCTGTTCGCTGTTCTGTTCTGACGTTCGGGCTTGGCATTTTGTGTGGCGTTAGTCACCTTGACCCACCCCCCCTCCTATTTCAACTCCTCGCACCTGTTTGCATGTTGTTGTTGCTGTTGTTTGCTGTTTTTGTTTTATTATCACTTCAACAAAACGGACTTGCAGATGTGACGCCTTTAACCGTTACGCTTACGCCTCTCGATAGAGCAACAGTTACCGAATGCATAGTCCCGCATTTGTGTTCCAACAGGGTTCAAATGACGTTACATTTCCCACAAACGAGCGAGTTAATTCTTTACAAATGACGAACAATTAAAAATTTGATATTACTGATTCAATATTTATGTACTTGAGATTCTCTCATTGATTCCTATTGCCTTCAAATGCTTCCTAATGCTAAAGAAGAGCAGAGGGGCGTGGCTCTGTTTTCTTTTCAAATTAAACGGTAAATTGACAGTCACGCGTGAACGTGTCTGGTGAACTGCTAATGAATATAACGGAATTTTTGCTTGGCAAATTCAAAAACAAAATACATATATTTGTTATTTTTTCTGGGAATTGGCAGTTGGTGAACTCTTCAAATTTTATGCCACAAATTGTTTCAGGCTGTGTGATCCCACTACCCCACAGCAATCTCTCCTCTCTCTCGCAATCTAATCGACCCTCTCCGCCAGCTAACATTCCAGTGGCAGAGTAACAGTAAAAGGAACAGCAGCAGCCGCAGAAAACGACGAGGAGTGACGTTCCCTAAGCTTCCGTTCAATAAAGCAATCTATTCATGATATAACTAGACACACACACACACTAGCACATAAATATATTAATATGTACATATACTAGCATAAAACAATTCCTCCATTGTTTTGGCCATGACGGACTGTGAGCGTTTGGGTATGACTAAACCCCCCACCCCATTCAGCTGTTGCTGCACTTGTTATCGCCTTTGATTCTGATTCTTGAAGTTCCCTGAACTCGTCCATATCGAGGTCTTCTATCCACAATCATGGATTCATGGGAGCTGGCAACAGTTTGCTGACTTGCAATGGGATTTTGATTAACCTTGTTTCGGCTGCAGCATTCCAATGTGACCTGGTCCTGGCCAGGCCTGATCGCTCCATATATGGCCACACTTTGTTGCAGTCGACGTAGACTACCGCACTTGGTGGTGTTGTGTCAGCGTGAAGTTGCCACAGCAATGATGCAAGCTGCAGTGTCAGCTTTTTATACCCGGTACTCGAATGTGCGAATAACGGTTGTATGTAACGCACAGAAGGAAGTACCCCATAAAGTATACATATATATTCTTGATCAGCATCAATAGACGAGTCGATAGAGCCTAGTCTGTCTGTCCGTCCGTCTGTCCATCCGTCCGTCTTGTTTGTCGGCTAGTTCTCAGAAACTGGTGGCTAGAGCCACCAAATTTTGGCTCCGGACTGCTGTATGCTCACACTGAAACCAGTGTATTTCAAAAATTAGCCCCGCCCCCTTCCGCCCTGCAAAATTTTGAAGATCAAAGAAAACTAAAAACGCCATTCCGTAGGGAATGACCATATCGATCAGATCACCAAATTGGGATCCGATTGAATCATTATTATAGCCACAATGAAGAAATTAATTTCCAGTGGCTATACCCAACCCGTCCCCCAGCTTATATTTGTTTTTTGCACATTCTCCCATACACACTCTGCCCGGCTCTAGGGGAGGGTGGCGAGCTAAAGGATCGTGTTGGCGTGACAGATGAAGAAAAAATGTAAAATTTGACAAGTAACCGCTAAGGTAGTAGTAGATGTAGTACTGGGTACTACAGGGTATAAAAGTTGTGATGCGTTAGAAGCGTCTCACACGTCCCTTCTCGTTACTATTGGTTATGCTTTAGCTTTGATTGATTTTTGATTTATTACTTTGACTTTCTGTTTGCTCCAGCACGATTCCGACCGCGATGGACTGATTAGCACACACGAGCTGAAGGAGCTCATTTCGGATGGTTATTGCCGGGACATCCCCGCCTATATAGCCGAGCAGATATTGCGCCGCAGCGACTCGGACAACGATGGGCATTTGGACTTTGAGGAGTTCTACACGATGTCGCTGCATCACAAGTGGATGGTGCGCAATCTCCTGGCCAGATACTGCCGAATGGTGGTGCCGCCGCCCAAGCCACTGGAGGGTGATGAGCCGGATGGTGCTTACGAGAAGCAAATGTCCATCTGCCCGCCGCCCCTCACCATGGTGATCTTTTCGATCATTGAGATCATTATGTTTCTGGTGGACATTATACACTTTCAGTGAGTATAAGCTGCAAGCCATCTGAAAACTGTGGGCTAACGTCTAACTCTTTGAAACAGGGACGATCCGAACCACAACGATCGACTGGGCGAGAGCACTAGCGGGCCGGCGGCGACGCTCTTCATCTACAATCCGTACAAGCGATACGAGGCATGGCGCTTCGTCAGCTACATGTTCGTCCATGTGGGCATTATGCATCTGATGATGAATCTGATTATTCAGATATTTCTGGGCATTGCCCTGGAGCTGGTGCATCATTGGTGGCGCGTGGCGCTTGTTTATTTGGCCGGCGTGCTGGCCGGCTCCATGGGCACATCCCTGACGAGTCCGCGCATCTTTCTGGCCGGCGCCTCTGGCGGGGTTTACGCTCTGATAACAGCCCACATTGCCACAATCATAATGGTGAGTGAATCTGATGGTTGGACATGCTGAGAATCGATACTAAAATTCCCTTTTTGCAGAACTACTCCGAGATGGAGTACGCGATAGTGCAGCTGCTGGCATTTCTCGTCTTTTGCTTTACCGATTTGGGCACATCCGTGTACCGCCATCTCACCGATCAGCATGATCAGATTGGCTATGTGGCGCATTTGTCGGGTGCCGTGGCCGGCCTGCTGGTGGGCATCGGTGTGCTGCGCAATCTGGAGGTGAGACGCTGGGAGCGCATCCTCTGGTGGGTGGCTGTCATCTTTTACTTTGCGCTCATGACCACCGGCATCATCATACACATCTTTGTGCCCGACTACTTCCCCAAGCAGGACTACAACTGAGATGCATAGCCTTAAGTCGTCGTACCCTTAGCCCTAGATCTAGCATCTACACACACACACACACACACACACACACCCCCTCCAAGTGCACTTAATGTGGCAGATGACCGCTGTACAGCACGCACAATGCTTTAAGCCCTGTCCTACCGCTCCACTGGGCCTTGTCTGTGTGTGCGTGTGTGCTGCATAATTTATTTTCTTACGACTAATTTTGATGCCCTTTTGCCGAGAGAGTCGCACCGATTCACTCAGAGACCAACCGTCCATTTAGATGGAGTCTGTATGTACAGATATATACGTTTTATATATATATTTATATATATTCTCGATCGTCATGACGATGCAACGAAGCTACGATTTGAATGCCCCATTTCCCGTACATCCCCAACAGAGAAAAAAAACTCAGCTGCATTTTAATTGTACAATTGCCTTTTTGCTACTTTTTAACTATTTTATTGAACAATAAACAAGCAAAAAAGAGCGTTTTTAGTTTTCTTTGATCTTCAAAACTGTAGGTTTGGGAGGTTTTCGCCCTTTTGCGGGTTCGGAAGGGGGCGTGGCTCATTTTTGAAATACACTTGTAACAGTGTGAGCATACAGAAGTCTGGATGCAAAATTTGGTGGCTCTAGCTTTTATGGTCTCTGAGATCCAGGCGCTCAACAAGACGGACGGACAGACAGACATGGCTCAATCGACTCGGCTATTGATGCTGATCAAGAATATATATACTTTAAGGAAACGTTTCCTTCTGTGTTACGTACAAGGCTGCTCCTTTGGCTTGGATTAAGACTGCAGCTACTGCCACGAATAAGTAGGCTTTAAGTAGATCAAACCGTTTCATCATCCTTCTCTTGCAGATTCATTCAAAGCAGCCAGAGGTAGCTGCAGCAGAACTCCAGAACTTTGACCACGCGATTCTTGTAGAAACTCCAGACTCTCCCCAGAGCTCCCACCCAGTAATAAAGTCAAACATATTTGCAGTTTGGTGAAAGGTCACATAAATTTTAATAGTTAGTTACCAAAAGGCCAGCCCCAGGTCGACGGTGGACAATCGACAGTCCAACAGTGCTAAAAATCAAACTCCTCTGCCAGAGTGCGAGTGGAAGGACTGGGGGGCTGTGTGTTTGGCTTGTCTTCGTCTTATGTCTATATATTTACAGGCTTACATTAATATCTGTCTCTTTACAAAAGCAAACGCAATGACTATAAACATGGAATAGTCCATTGATTTCTTCGGCCCAGTTGGCTTTTATCTTCTAACTTCTTTGTTCTCTTTGTTCATTCCTTTGGAATGGTAAATTATTCTTTTGATTATCTTTCAGTTTGGTTATACAAGTACAAACTTCGCCATCAACCATTTTGGTTGAAACACACAAAAAAATATATATTATAATCTATTCAGTTGTTTTGCGTTGGAGCAAAACTCTTAATTGGTTTAGTTTTTACATTTCTCCACATTAATTCTATGGATAACACTGAAACATCAAATGTTTTATATATATATATATATATAGATAGTTACTACAAACTAAGCGATTACGAGTACTCTTCTGTTTTGTTTTGTCTTGTGTTGGTTGTCGTGTGTGTGTGGATTGGTGTGTCTATCTTGTTGTGCGGTCATTAGTTGTTGAAGTTGTTAAGTTGAATTGTGGGTTTATAGTTTTTGGGGTATTTTTCAGCTGCGACTTGTGGAATATGTAAAACAAAACATGAAGTATAACCGCGACCTAATACTTAATTTTCTTCTTTTCTAGTCNTATGGCTTGGATTAAGACGTCAGCCACTGGCATTAATAGGTAGGCTTTAAGTATATCAAACCGATTCAACATCCTTCTCTTGCAGATTCAATCAAAGCAGCCAGAGGTAGCAGCAGCAGAACTCCAGAACTTTGACCACGCGATTCTTGTAGAAACTCCAGACTCTCCCCAGAGCTCCCACCCAGTAATAAAGTCAAACATATTTGCAGTTTGGTGAAAGGTCACATAAATTTTAATAGTTAGTTACCAAAAGGCCAGCCCCAGGTCGACGGTGGACAATCGACAGTCCAACAGTGCTAAAAATCAAACTCCTCTGCCAGAGTGCGAGTGGAAGGACTGGGGGGCTGTGTGTTTGGCTTGTCTTCGTCTTATGTCTATATATTTACAGGCTTACATTAATATCTGTCTCTTTACAAAAGCAAACGCAATGACTATAAACATGGAATAGTCCATTGATTTCTTCGGCCCAGTTGGCTTTTATCTTCTAACTTCTTTGTTCTCTTTGTTCATTCCTTTGGAATGGTAAATTATTCTTTTGATTATCTTTCAGTTTGGTTATACAAGTACAAACTTCGCCATCAACCATTTTGGTTGAAACACACAAAAAAATATATATTATAATCTATTCAGTTGTTTTGCGTTGGAGCAAAACTCTTAATTGGTTTAGTTTTTACATTTCTCCACATTAATTCTATGGATAACACTGAAACATCAAATGTTTTATATATATATATATATATAGATAGTTACTACAAACTAAGCGATTACGAGTACTCTTCTGTTTTGTTTTGTCTTGTGTTGGTTGTCGTGTGTGTGTGGATTGGTGTGTGTCTTGTTGTGCGGTCATTAGTTCAGCGTTTTGAACGTTGGAAAATCGACAGTCCAACAGTGCTAAAAAGCAAACTCCTCTGCCAGAGTGCGAGTGGAAGGACTGGGGGGCTGTGTGTTTGGCTTGTCTTCGTCTTATGTCTATATATTTACAGGCTTACATTAATATCTGTCTCTTTACAAAAGCAAACGCAATGACTATAAACATGGAATAGTCCATTGATTTCTTCGGCCCAGTTGGCTTTTATCTTCTAACTTCTTTGTTCTCTTTGTTCATTCCTTTGGAATGGTAAATTATTCTTTTGATTATCTTTCAGTTTGGTTATACAAGTACAAACTTCGCCATCAACCATTTTGGTTGAAACACACAAAAAAATATGTATTACAATCTATTCAGTTGTTTTGCGTTGGAGCAAAACTCTTAATTGGTTTAGTTTTTACATTTCTCCACATTAATTCTATGGATAACACTGAAACATCAAATGTTTTATATATATATATATATATAGATAGTTACTACAAACTAAGCGATTACGAGTACTCTTCTGTTTTGTTTTGTCTTGTGTTGGTTGTCGTGTGTGTGTGGATTGGTGTGTGTCTTGTTGTGCGGTCATTAGTTCAGCGTTTTGAACGTTGGAAAATCGACAGTCCAACAGTGCTAAAAAGCAAACTCCTCTGCCAGAGTGCGAGTGGAAGGACTGGGGGGCTGTGTGTTTGGCTTGTCTTCGTCTTATGTCTATATATTTACAGGCTTACATTAATATCTGTCTCTTTACAAAAGCAAACGCAATGACTATAAACATGGAATAGTCCATTGATTTCTTCGGCCCAGTTGGCTTTTATCTTCTAACTTCTTTGTTCTCTTTGTTCATTCCTTTGGAATGGTAAATTATTCTTTTGATTATCTTTCAGTTTGGTTATACAAGTACAAACTTCGCCATCAACCATTTTGGTTGAAACACACAAAAAAATATGTATTACAATCTATTCAGTTGTTTTGCGTTGGAGCAAAACTCTTAATTGGTTTAGTTTTTACATTTCTCCACATTAATTCTATGGATAACACTGAAACATCAAATGTTTTATAACTACAAACTAAGCGATTACGAGTACTCTTCTGTTTTGTTTTGTCTTGTGTTGGTTGTCGTGTGTGTGTGGATTGGTGTGTCTATCTTGTTGTGCGGTCATTAGTTGTTGAAGTTGTTAAGTTGAATTGTGGGTTTATAGTTTTTGGGGTATTTTTCAGCTGCGACTTGTGGAATATGTAAAACAAAACATGAAGTATAACCGCGACCTAATACTTAATTTTCTTCTTTTCTAGTCCGTGAATTTTTTAAACTTTTGTGATGACTCTCGAAGACTCAGTCTTGGCTTTCTCTGGTAGAAGTACATTTTGTTGGTTTGGTGGGTTGATGTGGGTTTCAGTGTGGAAGGGGACTTTTTCATCGGGTGGTAAACGATCGAGTTGTACTGTGGTCACAGTATGGTCCACGGCCATTGTCACAACCGACGTTGAGCACTTCCCCATTAGCTCGCACATGAACGTTTGAAAGCGCTCAAAGTGCATCCCGACCACACACGTTTTGTGGTTCTTCTCGTGGCAATTGCGCGAGCAGAGATATAACTTTTCACCGGGCTTCATGCCGAGTACTGGACGAGTCACTGGGACCAATGGCACGTTGGGTCTACCTAAGAACGATGCTGTTAGGGTTAGGAGCGCCTTGTTTATGACAAGTTTAAACTGCTTTAGCTGCGATTTATTGCGACTTAATTCCATTACGGCACGTATCATACCGTTCGTTTCGCTATGGCATCTGGGTATCAATAGCAGTTCCGAAATACTCTGGCACTTGGCCAGCAACTCGCTAAAGTTGCTGTCCACATCGACGTTGACCAGCTCCAGGCGACGCAAGTCACCAGCCTGGGCGAGTCCATGCATGATTTCCTTGATTGGGAAGGACCAATTTGGATTCTTCTTTTGGTCAATGTCCGTTTCGATGCGGAGCGCCTGTAATTTTTTGAGATTTGGAAGCACCACGTTGCCCAGACGGCGAGCCACTACCTCGTTCTGGCAGTTGCCCAATATCAAAGTCTCCAGATTGGGCAACTTCTTTAGAAATAGCAGTTTGTACAAGTTCTTCACGCCGCGCAGGCTCAGGACACGCAGACGCGTCAGCTTGCCCACCTGGGTCAGGCTAGAGATCGATCCATTGGCATCGGTCATGCGAATGCGCAGCTCGGTCAGGTTCTCCATCTTGTCGATGGCGGTCAAGCTGAGCCGTGAGCTGTAGCAAGTGCTGATCAGCTTCTCCAGCTTTGTCATTTTACTCATAATCTGTTGCAAAAATTCCGCCTTTGTGCAATGAGTGCGCACCACGCGCATTTCCTTCAATGTATGCATATGACCGGCTCCGAAGTTCGCTGTACTGGGTATAATGGCACCCATCATGTCTAATTCGCGTGTGCCCTTGCGTGCCATTTGGATCACCAAGGCTGGCCAATTGTTGACCGTTGTATCGCGCAGCGAGACTGATATCCACAGCTGAGGGTCACTGGAGCACAAGTTCCACAACTTGGACACCTGCGAGACACTAGCACGATCCTGTAAAGAGAAGAGTTTCGTTTCAATTCGATTCTCCTCTGTTTTTGCCTTTCTTTTCTTTCGCTATTTACCTGCTGGTTGAGTGTCTTCATAACGCTCAGTAATATACGACAATCGAAGCCTGCGCCAAACGCGTTTGCCCAAGTTGTTTCTGGGGCCGTCTCCGACGATTGCTTATGCGAAGCAATACGTTTATTGGATAAGTCGTTATATGCTGACAAGTCCAATGGCAGAATGCTGCGGATGGGGCAAAAACATTCATTCGATTATGGTTATGCGGAGCATTAAGGGGTGCGTACAGCAATCACTAATTAAATAATATATTCATCTAATCAGACCTCAAGGGGGACTCACACTTTTAAATTTGTTATGATCGCTTGTGTGCCAGTCATGGTCATCGCCTTCCGACCACCGATGACCACAACGTCCTGGCCCATGTGCACATCAGTTTGAGTAGCTACTTGGCACGTATCGGTGCTGAATAGCTCAGCTGGTGGCATCTCGCCTGGCGGCTCAATCGTTTTAGGCACCTTGACCCCATTGCTCAGAAGGAGCTCCGGATAGCTCTTCTCGCTATCCTCATCTTCATCGTCTAGTTCCACGTCCTCGGTTCCCTGCACCGACTGCATACAGTTCTGCAAGCAAATTATACATCATCGAGCTGTGGGAGAACACCAAAAACAGAAAAACTTACCTGGCAAACGCGGCCACTGACCAGCTCTACGCAGGATACACAGGTAGCGCGCTTCTCCTGGCTCAAGGGGGCGGCACTGCAGAGAGAAAGGAGTCACGAGTTAGCTGCGGAATGGACAGTGAGGGGCAATAATGTTGCATGCTTACCTTGAGCTGACGCTTGTGTTGAAATATCCACTGGTTCTGGCACTGCCATTCCTGTCGGCGGCAAGGAGAAGCGCATTGCCCGTGACGGCCGTGGTGGAAGTCGAACCCTCAGTGGGAGGACTGGCGCCTTTCGGCACATTCGGATTAGATTTGCGATTGCCTGCCCCATGTGCAACCACCGCATCGGCTGCCAGATGCTTCGGTGATTTGACAGTTACAGATTTAACTGACACGGCGGCAGTCACCACCGATGCGACGGCAGTGGATTTGCAACGTTTGTCAAATCCCGCAGAAGCAGAATTTGGTCGAGATTCCGCCCCCATTGTTTTGCGACGTTTCCGATTCGCCTTGCCGGCGAGAGACTCTGTCGCCTTTTCGGCCGCCAGCGATTTGCGGCGCTCCCGTAAAGCGTTATTGAACTCCTCCCTAGACAAGGCCGTGCGGGTTGTCTCAAACTCTGGTCCAGCACCCAGGGATTGACTTCCAAATAGAAAGTTATCGGTGGTGAGACCATCTGACAGCAATGCTTGAATCTCGCTCATCTTCCGGCACTTCTTGCCAAAGGGCGATGTGTAGACTGTCTGTATTGACGTGTTCGATTTTTGACTGGGATTCACCACCTGACGCGTCCAGCCATACAAAAACGGTTGCCGATAGATCTCGTCGGATGCATTTGGCCTGAACGTACTCTTGCGTCGTGGACGTTCGGGCGGCAACGGATCATCGCCACAAATTAAGAGTTTTGGTGCGATGGGTCTAGGACTCCTGTATCTTTTATTACGATTTGACTTTTTGTAATTATTCGATGGATAATTTGTCGGGACTGCAGCCGCAGCCGTAGACGTAGCCGGCGACTTCTTCTCCTTTTCCTTGTTGTAGATGCCATCGTTAGGCTTATCTACGTCTGTCGACTTCGAGCGTGTTCGGATCTGTTGGCTGGAAACAGAGAAAGGATCCCAAGACATACCGGGAAAAACCAATTCCTCAGCCTAGAGGGGGGGGACAAGAGGGGTGGAAGAGAAGGTCAAAGGTTAGTGTGTGGTCTCAAGTATCTGCGTGTCTACGAGAGCATGTCTAAGCATTGGTTAGTTATATTTATATTTTTATATATTTTATGGTTAGTTCTTTTTTTTGTTCTTTGCTTTGCTTTGCTTTTGTTTATTTGTAGTTATGGTTAATTGTTTGTCACCACCTTCTGGTCTAAGTCTGTTGCTGTTTGCTGCTGACTTTCATTTGTTGTTGTTGCTGCTTGCGGTTCTGGTTCTGGTTCTGAATCGCTTGCGCTTGAAGCCGCAGACGAGTTGTTTGAGTTGTTCTCTGAGGAGTGGCTGCTGTTGCTGTTATTGTTGTTGTTGGCTGGTGCCGTCGGTGAATAAATTGGGCTGGGAGAAGTTTTCGGTGTCTGATGGGTTACTGGTGTCACTGGTGGGGCTGGTGATCCAGACGCTACTGGTACTGGAGTCAATAAGTTACTAAATACGGACGTTGCTGGGATGCAGGTGGTGGTGGTTGAGGTTCCAGTATTCGAAGTGGTGGTGGTGGTTATAGTAGTAGTTCTTACTATTGTTGTTGTTGTTGTTAGTTGGATGGAAGGATGGGACGGATCTTTTGCTGTCGGAAGGATAGCTGTCTTCGTCTTCTCCGTGCGGGAGGATGTTGTTGATGGTGATGATGAGGACATCTGTGAGGAAGTCGGAGTGTCTGGCTCCGGGCTAGCCGGATCAGCCAGAGCAGCAGGACCAGCAGCAGCGGCCTCTTCTACTGCTGCATCTGCCGCTGGTTCTGTCTGTTGTTGTTGTTGTTCACGGGGGAATACCCTCAGACCACTCGCGCAAAGCGCCCTGATTTCAGCTGGCGACTGTTGTTGCGAATAGGAGATAGAGGTACAGTGAGAAAAAATATAGAAAAAAACTAACGAAGAAAAAAAAACAAACAAAAAATACACCCTCTCTTCTGCGGATTTGAAAACGGATCTTTGTTCAATTTGCAGCTTACCCGGGGATCCTCGCCGGAGTCATCTGAGATATCGTGCATTTTATCCGAGAGGTCGGGATTTCTTCCGGTATAACCCTTCAAACCGGAATCGGCCGAATCGTGGCGTTTCTTTGGGGTTCTGCGTTTCCTCTTATTTTTTCCACTGCTCCGTCCATTACCGTTCATCGGGGAGTCTCCATTGTACTGTGAACTATTCGAATCATCTGTCGACATTTCAGGGGTCATTCTATTCGCCCCGACTAGCAGGTCACAGAATTTGTCGCGACGGGACTTGCGCCCATTTGACGGTCCTGCTCGCTCCTCGCTCATTGCGTTCTAGAAATATTAAACAAAATTTTTAGTGTTGGTCAATGAAGGATCACACTTGTAGGTTTGTGTTTATATCAGGCCTCCGCACGCCCATGAAGCAACTATAAAAGGGGACTGTCGGCTTTTTAGAGGGAAACGTAACAATTCTGTTAATAAGTTCAAGTGAAAGGGCGTGCAGAGAGAGAGAGAGAGAGAGAGAGCAATTTAAATAGAATTACTAATAGGTAACGTCGTCAGCTGAGTGCAGGAGCACCAGCTTATTCGCCACGCTCTCCCAGCTCTCAGAGAGAGATAGCAAACGTTTATTAGTAATTTCACCATAAGCTGGTGTTCCTCGAATGAGAAGGCACTGTGATGAATCCGTCACCTTATTACTAATTTCACCATGGTACAAGCTGCTCATACTAGCGTCCCACCACGGTCGGGGGGAAATGCCCCGAGGACCTTATCCATTCTGAATTCGAATACAGCTTATCTTCCAATGTCTAAAATTAATTATTTTTCTAAGAGCACACACACACACACACACACGCACCAACTTGTTCTCGAATGTCCAACAACGCTCATCCCAGCGGCCATTTTTCTTACAGCTGTGCTGTTCCCCCCTCCCCAACAAAATAAAATGCCGACGAAGCTCAATTTGTGCGTTTTCGTGCGTGCCTACACGCACACACCACTCCACTACAATTGAAATTGTGCCCACACACTTGCAAACGACATGCATATGTGAACACATACAGGCGCAATTGAGGCGCTCTTCCTGAAAACTGCCGGTTCACGCGTTTCTCAAGTGCAGCTGTGCTTTACCACCCTCCACCACCCCACCGCACAAGATTGAATTCCGAAGAAGTTCAATTTCTGCGATTTCTTGCGTGCCTACACACATACCACTCCACTACAGTGGAAATTCTGCCCACACTTGCAAACGACATGCATATGTGAACACACACAGGCGCAATTGAGGCGCTCTTCTTGACGCGTTTCTCAAGCGCAGCTGGGCTTTACCCCCCGTCCGACAAAATTAAATGCCGACGAAGTTCAATTTGTGCGTTTTCGTGCGTGCCTATACACACCACGCCACTTTTCTTGAAATTGTGCACACAAACCTGCGCACGACATGCACATACACGCACTCACACACGATTCTGCGTTTCGCGCTTTCAAATTGGGACTAGGGCTAATATAAGCTCTTCTCAGAAAGAATAAACTCAAAAATCAGCGAAATCGCACTCTTAACTCGAATTACACATTAATAAACAATATGCCCATAGTCTAGCAGTGCGCCTCTTTTAGTTGTACAAATTTAGAACCTGCAGAGGAAACCACAGGCTTTTTGCATTTGAATGCAAACACAAACCAGGCAAGCAACAGATTTATTTAAAAGAACAAGTTTAAGTGCTAGCCCATATCACTGGCGTTTGTTTTGTTTTGGTCGCGCGACTCGTTTTTGGCCCTGAAAAACTTTATGCGTACACACACACACACACACACAACGGCAGAAAACGCCGCTTTTTTTTGGGACAGGCATGGCGGGAATAAATTTACCAAAAAACAACTATGTACGTATTCCCGATGAGCAGAAAAAGAGGGTAAACCTGGCAATTTAACAATTATCTTGCGGACTTTTGCAGTTAGAGCCTATTTTAGACAGAGGCAACTCACAATTTGCGCATTCATTTGCGTTAGTATGTGTGTGTGAGACTGCGAATATGCATGCGAGTGACGCCAGGCCACTCTGCCCAGCTGCAGGCTAAACGGAGCTCAAAACTCATTTTTCATCAAAAATTTGAGCTTAAAACTAATGCTCTGTAACATTTTAAACTTACATGATGCTTTACACAAAGTTAGCGAACTTTGAGCTTAAACGAACCACTTTTTAACGACGGACAAACGCACAGCACGCACCAAGATGATGAAATGAATGTGACTGCGCAGTTATCGACCAAATATACTTCCTGACCAGGCGACCGCGAAACTATCGATAAAATATACCAGGAGCGCCTCGGTATTTTTATTTTTGGTATACCAAAATATACCATTGCATCTTTAAAATATACCATATATACACCGTAGTCTTAAATAAGATTCTTCGATTTTGATGTTCTATTTAATATTACTAGGTAGTAATAATAATTTTATCAGATTTATCAATCAGTTATCCACAAGATTGTCTAGTTTTGTAAATATCCTGAAAAGAATTAACACTGGAACAATAATTTAATCAGCTTAAAGAATAAATAATCCTTTTTTTATTGTATACCTTATGACCTGATGACATTACTACTACACATTTTCTACATACCAAAACCTATTTAGCAGAATATATTTAATAGAATATTTGAAGGATTGAGAGTCAATTTAAGATTAAAGATAAATCTTAACCCGAACAGCTTCCCGACCTTCCCGACCGAAATTGACTGATTCCCGCTTGTTTCACCCCCTGTAAATTTGAAGCGAAAATGTAACGTAGTGTACTCATGTTTATTGGAAAAGGGAGGGATACAAATATACTGTTTGGAAGCAACTAAGTCCGACTGGAGAGCCCTGTTTCAAATGATCTCTTCGAGTAACTGGACTTTTGCAAATATAATTTCGCATTTTTGGCTGGATTTTTAATTTTTTTTCTATTTTGGTTTTTGTCTTTAGTATGTAAATGTATGTAAACTATTAACAGAGAAACAACAGCAAACAACGCAACAAAAGAGAAAAAGAAATTCTCTTATATTCCCGAAAGGGAACATAAGGAACTATTTTTCATCGGTATATCATGCGATATATTTTGAAGGTATATTTTATAGATAGTTTCGCGGTCGAACTGGTGCTATGGTCACACTTTTAATTGCTCATTTTCCAACACCAGCACGCCCCGCTTGCTGTATTTTTTTTACAGTGCACCATTTTTCGTAGTATTAACTATCTAGTAAGATTCACCCTTTTAATACATATTAAAAATATAAAGAAATATGGCTGCCAATAAAACAATGGACTGCTGTGCACTAAGCCTCGACGAGATCATCGAACGGCGACAATTGCGGCCCGCCCGTGGCGGCCGTTCAATCGACAAAAAATTGTAAGCGACGAAAAAAAATGCACAAAAATGGCGTTCTGTTGATTTTCTATATCCCGCTACTCTACCTCTCTCCCTCTCTGTACAGCAATCCAAATAACAACAACAAGATGCGAAAACTGGTGAATAAGCAAGCGTTCAAGGCGGGCACAGGAATGGGGGGACCGTCGGACCAACCGTCCGCCTCTCGCACCTATGACGCCCGCAACAAGATTATACAAAAGACACGTGCAAAAATCACCGATGCCCGAGATAAGCTCAACCAGAATATGCGCAAATCCGGCATCGATGCCCGCCAGCTGCTCATTGAACGAAAGAAGCTGCTGCGTCCCATGGAGGATCCACAAGCTGCCATTTTGAATCAGGGCCTGTCGCGCCTGATGATGGAGCGAAAGAAATACCCGCCTAATGATATGCGCCTACCCATGTCCCTGAAATACACCCACGCGGAGGAGGACGAGGACGAGGATGAGCGTGAGCGTGACAGGCAGGAGCACATGGGAAAGTTTGGCCAGCGTTTGGTTACCATGTCGAATCGTTCGGTCAACGATTATTATAGTCAAAAGGGAGGCGCTTCGGGTGTTACACGCTCCTTCAACTCCAGACTGAATCCCTCAGCCAAGCCGTTTGCACCGCGTGGCTATGTGGATCACGACAATATGCAGCATCTCGAGGATGGTAAGTTGCGTCGCGTCCCGTCGCTCACTCGCTGACTGAGGCTCACTCGTTATCTTTTGCAGAGGAAGTCCACACTGCTGTGCATCTGAGTGGCAGGAGCAATGTGCCACCGTCTCGCTTTGGCTATGCCAACTTCAATATGAATCGCGATGAGGATGTGGAAATGTCGACGGCTCCGATGCTGAATAACATTGCCAGCGATCCGTTTGCCATATACGAGACGGCGCGCAATCGGATTGAGCGGCCCATGCTGGGCCCGGCACCGCACATTGAGGCTGAGCCGCAGCACTTTGATCGCAGTCGGCGTCAGTTGGCGGGCACTTCGAATCTGTCCGACTCGTTGCGGGCACGCCTGTTTGGCGGTGAGCCCGATCGTCGCGTCTCCCATGGCATCTATGCCAACGAGAACAAGTCACTGGCCAACAGCGGCTCCAATGCCGCACCATCGATGATTCTCTCCATGTCCACACGTCGTTCGCCGCCGCTGGGCATGGCCAACAACAAGAAGGGCTACCGCCTGCTGGTGAGCAATCTACACTCGAACGTGACCACCTCGGACATACGGGAGCTCTTCAGCGACATTGGGCCCATGTACGATGCGCATGTGGTGCGTCCCGGCACCGCCGAAGTCATTTTCAAGACGCTGGAACACGCCGAAATAGCCGTCGATTTGTACCATCATCGGGAGTTCGATGGCCAGCCCATGCATTGTGTGCTGATCAATCCTCACTCGTCCAATCGCTCGTCACACTCGGCCAGGTGAGAGTTGCACCCCCAAAAATATTTTTTTTTATCACTAATAATTGTTGTAATCCTTCAGCTCACGCACTGTCACCACCAACTCATCTGGCGTCGAGGTAGACATTGACGCTCTGCACTCTGTGCTCTTTCGTGATCGCTGATCGACTGCTGAGCTGATCCACGGACAGACGCCATTAGAAAATTAGTTAAGAAAAACAAAATAGTAAACTAAATACACTAATTCCATCTTTTAGATTCTCAATGCAAATCTGCACAACTTTCAACTGAGTTTCCTCATCACTTCACCCAACACAACACCAACACAAGACAAAATAAATAAAATACTTAACTAGACAAGTTGCTAGGCGAAAGAAAATGCACAGTCGAAGATCCGTTTGAGGCACTGTACAAGTGCGGCTATTGATGCTAAAAGATCGCTCCTTTTGCACCTCTTTGTGCAGCTCTTGTGCAACTCTTGGTGCAGCCAAGTGGTTCTTCCTTTTTGTTGTTGTTTAATGTCTTTACATATTACATAAATTTAAAATTGCATACAATTAATTCATAATTAAGTAAGTAAGAAAGAGGAGCGCAGTTTGCTTGGTGAGCCATTTGAAGAGATGCACACAAAAAAAAAAAAGAAGATAACTTGAAGATCGTCGTCGTCGTTGGGGCTATATCTAATTGTCCCGTATGCCCGTGCCATAGTTGGCACCACCGGCACGGTTCAGCGCCTCGCGGAACAGGCCAATGTCCAGCTCGGGCTCCACGCCCGCCTGCAGCTCCACGGCAAAGTTCTGCAAAGGGAAATTGCATTTCAAGCTGTATTTCAACTGATGCTGCTGCTACTCACATTGAGGACATCCTTGATGATGGCCTTGTCCGTGGACATTTTGGCACGCTGAATGACGCCCACCTCCTGGCCAATCCACGTGAGGAATATAAACTTTTTGCGCTTGGACATCTCATCGCCCATCTGTATGCGTATGTAGCCAAAGGCCCGCTCCGAGTCACCGAACTGCTGACGAAACTCCTCAAAGCACTGGCCCCGGCCATGGACAATGATCTGTGGCCCATCGAATTTGAAGACCGCCCACTCGGTGTCTGTGAGATCGGAGCGCACGTCCTCGTATGCCTCGCGTATGGCGTCCTTGTCCAGCGACGTTGCCAAGGGCATCTGCCAAGCAAAAGACAGAAAATAAGGCGTGTGAGTGACTGAATTAAAGATTATTGAAGTGGCATGAATCATTGCGGCGTTGAGATCGTTGCCGCCAACGCTTGCCTTGCTTCATGCTTCAAGTCCAAGTCCCACTATCGTGCCACTGGGTGCCAGCGATAAAGACTGCTGCTGCTGCTGCTGCTGCATGTGCCTGTCCGCCTGTCTGTCCGTCTGTCTGTGTGCTTTTCTGAATAAATTTATTTATATGGCAAGTACACACTCAAACGAACGGACATTGGGGTACTTTCGCTTTCAATTTCGATTTCGATTCGGTTTACGTGTCGAGGAAGACGCCACTTTGAAGTCATTAAAGTTTTTCCCGGATTAGTGCACCCATTTATCCATCTATCTATTTACCCATCTACCCATATGTATGGACTCTTTCTCCCTCTCTCTCTTCGATCTTGAGCGCTGTTCGATCGCATTTGCGCGTGACAATTTGTTGTNACTATTTTTTTTTTAATTTCAATAAAAAAGGCGGCCACAGATTTTTCAACTCTTCTTTTAACTCGTGCGGCACAAAGAGGAACGAGACGTTCCCCCCCCCCCCCCCCACCCATAACTGGCAAACAAAAACTCAAGCTCAGACTCAAGTCTAGAGGCAGGAACATCCAAAATAGACATCGAAATGGGAGCTACAAATTGGGAGGGGAGAAATGAATGGAGAAGCGATTCATAATGCGTTCAATGACCGCGCGACGGCCCAGGCCGGACTTTCGTCTGTGAGAAAAATCAATTAGAAAAGCGCAAAGCTATTTGGGAGGAGAGTTGCAGAAGCAACGGCAAACCTCTGCCCGACAACAACAAATATTGGAAGAATAGAATAAAAAGACGTCCAAGCCAAACAATTAAAGAGACTAAAAAACTGATTCAGGCGACGACTTTCACGACGACAAACGGCGATGAGAACTTTGCGGTGCTTGCCGGACCTCACACACAGCTCGAATGTGAGAGAAGTCTCTGCTGTGGCTGAGGTCTGAGAGTGGAATTAATTAGTCAAAAGATGCGAAATGCGAATGCGAAATGTGTACGAAAAAAGTGGCCAGAGAATGGCCCAAAAGTGAGCCAGAGAGCCATAGAGACAGAGACCAAGCTTGTTGGGTTGGTAGACACAATGTTAATGGCTAAAATTAGCCATATCCTCAGCTGATAAGCACTATAGTCAGGCCCCGTCGTATCTCTGATAACAGGCACTGTGACAACCAAAAACAAATTAGATCCGATGCGGCAGGGCGTGGCCGCGGCTGATCACTCCAGATATGAAGTGGTCTTATCGGTGAAGGAGGAGCAGGAGGGAGTGCTTGGTTGGCTGAGAGTAAAATTGACGTCTGGAGTGATAAGAGAAACACCGCAGAGCGAAACACACTTGAACAATTCGAATTGATTTACAGCTGGAGGAGAGCTATGGGGGATCGCTTTGCTCCAATTTCACACAACATAAAAACAAACATCTGTGGGGGTACATTTTTTCGGGGGGTTAGCTGCAATAAAGCTGAGGGCGGGGGCTGGGCGAGAGAGCACACGTCATGCACTTGTTCATGTTTTTAGCGATAAATGTTAACACGCTCAGAATTGATTATTGGATGACGAGCCACAGCCATATATACAATGTATGTACATATGTATGTATACATGAATCTATCAGCATTTGTGTATAAATATTGTGTAAGGCTGAAGCAGTAATTGCAGCTGGAAAATAAATGCAGCTCTAGCCAAGCATGATAGAAATCGAAGCGAAACTGAGACGAAGACGAGACGGAAGAGCCGCTAATAAATATCTACCCTTGCGCACAGGGTATTAATATACAGCAAACAAAACGTTTCCGCCCCATAAAACCAATACGAGATTATGCACCCAAAGCCACTGCAATGTTGCTAAACTCTCTCTTACGGGTATCCTTTTATCAATATGCAACACTGGCAGCAGCAGTGGGGGTGGCCTCTGACTCGCACTGCTGACTAACGCACTTCAGATAAGTGACCATTTCGAAGGATTTCGAATGAAACAAAAAGCACACACACAATAATTCTCAGAATATGGCAATGAGAACAGCAAACAGTGCCAGAGATTCCCTGAGTCACATCCTGAGCAGGAAGCTAAAAGTTTTCGCCTTAGAAATAAGTTCGCAAGCTGCTCACCGATTGGGATTCGATCGCTGAAAAACAATTTGGTGACAAATTGCCGCGGGAACGCAGCAGCGCAGCAGCAGCAGTGCATTTTGGATGACGTACTTGCGCAGCAGTGGCAGCAGCAGCCGGCTTCGACTGCGCAGTCGGCGTGGCGGCCAAGCGTTCATTGCCTCTGGCCGGGTATGCTGCCTGTCGTCCCGTCGCTCCGTTGCTTCGTTGCTGTTCTTTTTTTAAAGTACGCTGCTGTTTCTGTGTCTGATTCGTCGTCGTTGTTGTGCCTTAATATTTCTTCGTTTTTCGGGTTACACACACAAACACACACACACTAACAAGCGTATATGCATGCACGCAGCGCATCCATGAAACAAAGGAGCAATCTGTTTTCTGCTGTTGTTGTTGTTGTTGTTGTTGTTGCGTGAGTCACACTTGCACACGAAGGTGACGAGAGAGAGAGGAGTGTGTGTATGACCAGAATTGGTATGCCAGGAAGCGAGCGAAACAATCTTGCATATTCGAATGTCCCCCCTCTCCCACTCTCTCTCCGTGCAACTCTTTCTTTCGCGCTGCCAATAAAAGCTTCAATATTTGATATTTGTTTTACAGCTGAATCTACCACTTGACATTGATAGCAGAAGCCGTCGACGCCGACGCTGTCGCCAACGCCAAATGCCAACCCCCAAAGTTGGCAGTGATGCACTGAAAAAGCTAACGACATTGTGAATACAAACATACATACATATTGTACATATATTCATACTCATATGTATAATGTACATGTGTGTGTGTGTTTGTGTGCTGTATTATTTATTGGCATTGCTACTGACAGCTCAACACCCCCTCACTCCCTCGCTGCTTTGCTTTGACGCATTTGTTTCAATTCCACCCAATTGTTGCGCTTTGTTGGAACTTATTGACTGAGCTATAACCGTAAATGGTCGTCTCCGCCAGAGATTAGCTGCCGCAGAGTGAATTGAAGTGCGGAGAGTGGAGAGCGAAGGAATTACGCAATTGAAGTGCATGATGAGCGATCCGATCTGCAGAAGGGCACAAACGAGATAGATAGGGGCCTCCTCCCACTGGGCATGAACTCTCTCTCCATACACACACCCAAACAGTGGAACTTGCAGTCAGCGCACAAGTGAGGGGGCTGCCTGCGATACTGTTATTTTGACAGCTGAAAAACACCGTTATATACGAAAAGAAAAGTGTTGAATACCGCTGCCATTGTGGCTAGCAGCCGCCGCCGCATAAACCACATCAATATGATTCTGATACATATACATATGTATGTATGTAAATATGTATGTACTATGCATCGACCAAATGTAACTGTAACAAGTGCAGCAGCAACCAACCGACAACTCGCACTTGAACTTGATACTTGCGTCTGCGGCACGGCACCAATAACGATATGCACACAGACAGAGGGTCAGATGCGTATCTTGCGCGTCGCCCCAACGACGGCAGCGACGGCGGCTGCTGCATCCGCCCCCGCATAAGGAGGCACTAAATATATGCATGCATGCATGCATGTACGTGTGTGTGTGTGTGTGTGTGAGTACCTTTTCGCTTTTTGTCTCTTCTTCGTGCTGTTTGGTCGGATCTCGGGACTGTGGTCTGGGGATATGGGGAACCGGGCCGGTTCTTGTGGACACACCGCCAAAGTCAGAGTTATTTTAAAACCCAACATGCCCCGCCACACACGCACACCAATCGCAAAGAGATACAAACACACAGGCAGACACACTCAATCGGTCTGGGCCCATCTTCCAGCCTTTGGGCTGGTCCCGTCCCTCTTCACAATCGCTGTCTCCCATTCTCAGCCTCATTCGCTCTCCCATCTCCCATGTCTTTGCTGTCTCTGTTCTGTTCTGTTGGCCCGTTTCTTTTGCTCTCTTGTTTCCACATCGAATCTTTTATACATTCGGTTGCTTCTCTTTTGCCGCACTTATTACTTTCTGTATACAGTATTTATGTGTACATCAATATGTAAATGTACGCACATATGTACATATGTATGTACATTTATGTATGTATAAAATATAGCGCCCTGGAGGACTACAAAGTACTCACCCTTCTCGGCTTGCTCTCCACGATCTGCTCAACCTCGATGCCGTCCGACATGGTGGTTGCGTTGTTCTTCGATTCTTGGGAACTGTGGGATGCTGCTGCAGCAACGAAAATTTGCACGACGAGGGTCCGGTCCGGTCCACTGGGGATGCTGTTGCTGGGACGCTGCCGCTGTGGCTGTCTTTTGTCGGAGATCGGAGAGTTCAACGAATCTCTGCCGGTCGGCGTCGGTCGCTCTTCTGGCAGCTGGGGTCAGGCAAGCGCAGTTCTTCGCCTTCTTCTTCTTCCTTTTGGGGCAGTGCACTGTCAGAGTGTCAGAGTGTTTTGTCCCAGTCCGCTGTGGTTTTGTTGGCCAACAATTTGATTTAATGCACAGAGTGTGGCAAGTGACAAACGAAAACAAAAATATGATTGTAACTATAAAAAAAACAGAGCCAACTAAGGCATCCGAACCGTCCAGCACGAAAAAAGCTAATGCGGGCTGTGCCGGCGTTCGCAACTCCAACGAAAAGCGGGGATCGCCCATGATGTAACTGTACGGGGTGGTGCCCTCGTGTGTCGTTCAGGGGTGTTTGGCTCTAATATTTTTCAGCGTGCTCGCTTGTTGTTGCACTTTTTTCATTTTAGCCTCCCCACCCCCCGCTGCGCGCTGAAAATTACTTTTCGATTTTTGCAGCAATCAAATTTGATAGTTTCGTTTCACTCACAATTACTATGCATAACCCTTTCACTCGCACTTACAAGCAACGTAAATAGTAGAGCACTTTTCCGACGGGACCACCTTACATAGTTGCATCATGGCGGGGATCGCCGACGCCAGCGCCAGCGCAGCCGCAAATTGTGTGAGCGAGATGGCGAGCAGCCGCAGCTGATAAAGATTCACGAGCAGAGCGGCAGCAGCAGCGGCAGCGACGATGGCAAACAGAGAGAGTGAGTGAGTGAGAGTGAGTTTGATCGAAGTGCAGAGGCTAGAAGGAGAAGATTGCCGCATTTGGCAACATTTTTAATGCCCCTGCAGAATGGTGGAGTGGAGTCATATAAAACGAAATAAAAGTTTGGGTGGTGAATGAGCAACGGCACTGTACTGCGGGAATGACATCTACTCTTATTGGTTATTTCTCCTGAACTTTAGCTGTCATAGCCACATTATCATTAAGCATCAGATATAAATCCGTTAGACTGGCACTTTTTTAGTTGCTCCTACGAGTTTTAGTGTCTGACAGCACTTAGAGCTTCAAAGTAATATAGTCCACCATTTAACAGAGCCTGCCACTGTTAAGCTTGCCGCTTTCCAACAGAACTGTTAGCTAGCGCGATACATGTTCTGTTAATACTAAAATGACTTCTTGCAATTTTGAAATAATATAAAATTGAAAATTCAACAATTTAAGTGACATTTTTACCACGCAACGCCATCAGAGAGGTATTGCAGTGTCTCTGCACTGACTTGAAACATTGCTTAACAGTTTCCCAACATTTTCGGTTTCATACTTTTTAAAAATTACACTTAAGAAAAGGCGTTGCCACGCCCATTTGGTCAAAATACCTTTCTGCCAATAATATGAACTAATAAAGAGGTGGTAAAATTCCCCCAAGTGCCGCACATGTTGCTGCAGCATGTTGCTGTGGTGAGTTTTGAATGCTGCCAGGCGACGCCCATGAAGCAATTATATAAGGAGGGCCCGTCGGCAAAATAAGAAAAACGTAAAAATGCTGTCAATAAGAGCAAGTGAAAGGGCTCGGCGCAGTAAGTGCGAGTGAAACGACAATGTCGTGTGCTGATTAACCCTTTGATGGCATGGGGTTTAGTTTTCTTTTATATTTTGATTTTTAATAATTTATAACTTGAAAGTAGTCGTTACTATTGTTTTTGAATATATACTTGTTTTCTTAGGCTCTTAGTTCTAAAATAAATTGCAACTTTCTTGCTGTGAAGGGTTAATATACAAGCATACAATATTCCGCATCAACAAGCGAGCACTGAACTCTAAGGGAAATGACACGAGGAACGCAGCCGACGACGGGCCCTCCTTACATAATTGCTTCATGGCGACGCCCACGCAGCATGTTGCTGCCACAACGTGGCATACGAACAGGAGCTAGCAACGCCAGTCAGTTACCCACGATAACGGTAAACGGTAAGTTAACGTAACGGCAGGCAAGGACGGGCGCTTTCGTACTCGTCCTCCTGAATCAAAGTCGCGTATTTAACCCGTTAGCCGTTAGTCCGGTGCCAGTCCGCGAGTCCCCACCGCGAATTTATTTTTTGTGTGAGTGTTTGTATTTGTGTGTGTGTGTGTGGTGGGTGGGTGATCATCTCAGCCGGACAATGCTGCTGTGGCATAGCTTTGCCGTGTGATCGCGTCGCGCAGCGATGTACAGCTACAGTGCGGAGGATGCTGCCCAAACGGCCATGGCAGCGGCGGCTGCGTATAGGGCGCTGCTCGACTACTACGCCAATGCGCCCAGTGCGGCGGGACATATCGTCTCGTTGACTGTGCTGCCCTACAACGGTACTTCCTCGTACGCTGGCAGCAACAACAACAGCAGAAGCAGCAGCAGCAGCAGCAACAGCAGCGACAACAACAGCAGCTACGATAATGATGATGGCACGATCCACAGCTTTGCCGACACTTTCGGCTCGGGCTTCGGCTCAGGCTCAGGCTTCGGCTCTGCTGCCAGTCCCAGCGCCGCTTCCATCAGCAGCGGCAGCGGCAGCAGCAGCAGCAGCGGCAGCAGCAGCGGCAGCGCGACAGAGATGCCCGTCTGGCTGATACCCAGCTACAGCGTGATTCTGCTGTTCGCGGTGCTGGGCAATCTGTTGGTCATCTCCACCCTTGTGCAGAACCGTCGCATGCGGACCATCACGAATGTCTTTCTGCTGAATCTCGCCATCTCGGACATGCTGCTGGGCGTGCTCTGCATGCCCGTCACACTCGTGGGCACGCTGCTGCGTAACTTCATCTTCGGGGAGTTTCTCTGCAAATTGTTTCAGTTCTCGCAGGGTAAGTTTTGCCCTCCGTCTTAATCCTTTCGTAGCCGCAATGTCAAAAGTTTCATCAATTAGCTGAAATTATACACACATAAGCGAAAGGGAATCACATATGTGCCCGTGCCTGTGCACGTGCCTGTGTGTGGGTGTGTCTGTGTGCGGGGGCAGCATTAAAATAATTTTGTATCGGATCGTTTTATTGACTTCTGTCCCTGCCCAGCAGCGAAGGGGACAGGCGCTGCCTGGCCTAGGATCCCCCAAATAATAATATTGGAATTTGTTATTGGCAGTGCGGGGAGTCCATTTGGGAGCCCCATTACATAACTTCAAATCAAACAATTGTCTCGGCCAGGACCAAAGGCTCTTGGTCCTTCGTTTGAAGCTATTAAAAAGACATTTGCAGCATGACGGCAGGAGCAGGAGCAGGCGCAGGAGCCTCTGTAATTTAGAGGCTGTAGACAATTAGGAGGGAGCTGCTTACAGCCGATGTTTATGATCTGGAAGGACACTGTGTCCGAACCTTAATGGCAATTGCTAAGCAGAAATTGTGGCAGACACACACCGAAAGACGGACAAAGATTTAATCTGGCTGTGCAGGCACACACACTGCTTGACGGGGCATGGCATACTTTTGGGGGCATCCATTGCATACACCATATGCATATCCATTGCATACTTTTGCGCGCCAGCTGCGAAATTAAATAACAATTGCTGAATGGTCCGTAGGCTGAGGCTGCAAAACAAAACAAAACGAAACATGACAGCGAACAAGAACAGCTAAGAGAGAGAGAAAGACACGCACCTGGCAGCAGTGTAGAAAGGAAGGATGCAGCAGCAGGCAGGAGCAGCCAGGGGCAGGGCGCAGCACAGGACAAGCCAGGGACAAGGCAGGTGGCAGGACACAGCACAGGGACATGGACATGGACATGGACATGGAACAAGCAAACATTACACAGCGGCTGCGGCGTGTGGCAAGTGGCGCACAATTATAGCAACACAAGAAACAAAATTCCATACGCCTAATGGCACTCCAGCCACCAGGTGGAGTTGGGGTTGAGGCTGAGGCTGGGACTGTGGCTGTGGCTGTGGCTGAAGCACACTTGAAAAAAGGTCAACGTCATTTTGGGCTGGAAAATGGTGCGTGGGTTTCGCATTTGAAAGTCGTGGGAGCTGGCCACTTGAGAGCTGAAAGGGGAGAGGCTTGATGGCGTTTCAGTTCCGGCCAGTTGCCATGGCCCACATATCTTGGCAGCGAAACTCTCAACGGCCTCTCGCTACTCGCTCCCTCTACTCGCTACTCGGCAGAGTGCTGTCGCCCTCCCCTTGGTAACGCTTCAGGGTTGGTTCGTGGTGCGGCTTCAGCCTGGCTTTTGCCGCGTCCTGTCCTGCCATAAACTGTAGCTAGTTGCCCGGCTTGCAGGCACCAGCCGCATAAACACAGCTATAAATAGGCAGCGTGTGCACCTGTCCCATTGAGCTGTTAAACCAATGGCAAGTGGCAGAGGCAGAGTCTGAGGCAGACTGTCACTGTGGCTGCCACACCATTTGCGTAATGAGAAACTCCGAGAGAGAGAGCGAGTCCTGATGCCTGCTCCTGCTCCTGCTGCCTCGTGCATTGTCCAGTGGCAGAGTTGAGCTGCTGCCCCAGCCCGAAACTTGCCTTCTGGGATTCTGCCTTCTGTTTGCGTTCAAGTTTTTTAATTAATAATTTCAAGCGTTGCCAGCGGAGGAACACTGGAAATATCACTGGAAGCCTGTGCCAGACATGTGTGTGTGTGTGTGTGTCTGCTGCAGTCAGGCGCTGATGCTGAAGCTGAAGCTGAAGCTGAAGCCTATCTGTAGCTTGGCTTAGCTAAGGCCAAAAAGTTTTCACACACTCCTCCAGCTGCTTTGTGACCCACCTAGCAGCCACTTTGGAGCACTTAATTTGATAAAATGCGAAACGCCACGCCACGCCACGCCACGTCCCCGGCCGGCCCACTCAACTTTGTTTCGCTTTTAACTTAAATAGAATTTTTTGGCTGGCAGCAACTCTGATTTTCGTTTTTGTGGCAGCAAACTTTGCCATCGGCATAGCCGCACGGCACTCCCCACTCCCCACTCCCCACTCACTGCCACGCCCCGTTAGAGCCTTTCTGCCTTTCTGCCTTTCTGCCTTTCTTCCTTCATGTTTGTGGCTTAATCATTGAATTTAAATGAGTTTGCACACAAAAGTTTCCTTTCATTTCATTTCGGATATTGAATTAAACAAGTGAGAAAAAACACGGAGGCTGAAAACCAAAATTCAGGAATTTAAGCTTCAACTTGCGCCCCCCCCGCCAGGATGTCGATGTCCCACACAAGTTGTCAATCAATGGACTGGCCCAGGCAGCTCAGCTCAGCTTTGTGCTGCATGTCGACGCTCTTGATCATCTCTCAAAGCTGTGTCCTGGCAGCTGTTTAAGGCGGATACGCGCCCAAACGTGACACATTTATGCGCAGTT